ATAATTTTCACACCTAGTGATGTGCCATTCATAGTAAACTTGAGCACAGTACACACAGTGCGCACAGTACATATATATAGTGTGCATAGGACCTGCACGTAGTGGATGTAAGGATTATGAGGCAATAGAAAAGAATTTCTCTTACTTTTCCACTAACTATGCGCGAACTATGTGTGCTTGAAATATCACTGCTAGAGATGATATTACTATCGCTTTTTTTTTATTCTGGATTATTATTAACAGCAGGTCCAAGAACAACTTCGGCAGACAAATTATAGATTCGGTTGCTTGAAGTTTTCGATGTTGTTCGACGATGATGATTCGAATATTTGAATATTTTTTGATAACGATGATTTGATGACTTGAATTTTGTCAGTGTTGATTGTAGATAATAATGATGATGGTGACAACAATTTTTCATCGTGTTGTGGTTGCTGATTTAAGTGGAAGGGGTAATATTGGTTCAATTGGATCGGTTTGTATGCCAACGATTTACTTCATTCTGCTTGGAAGTACAATGACACCATCCATGATAACAGAGGTAATTTTATAGATTTAAATAAAAATGGAAATATTGTGACCTTAAATAGAAAGACTATCGGCTCGATTGTTGACATTTTCATTGTAAGGGAATTTGTTTATATTTCGTATGTGTGTGTTGAATTTGTTGAATATAAAAATAAATTTTGTTTATTTAATGATAATAAGTTTTTTATTAATAAGTTTTCGCGTGAAACGTTTTATAAGAGGTTTGTTTTCATGAGAGGTTTTATAAGAAAAATTTTCATGATAAATTTTTTTGGTTTAAAATATACAGTATATATATGATTAATAATTAATTATCAGGCAGACAATTGTCATTGGAACAAATTTAATATATTAGGTTAGAATAAAGCAAAAAACATGAGAATAATGAGCAACAAATATGTAAAAAACTCTCATCCGTAAATTCAAGGGGTTTCAATAACTCCATGTTGTTTTTATTAAATTTAGTTGGGGGTATATTATTACAATCTCCAATATTAGGTAATGATCGTGCTTGAATATATCCAGCATATAATCCATCTACAGGCCATCCCCATTCAAA